AATTACTACCCTATCTTGGTAATGGCTTAATATTTAGACTTTCTGATCGCTATCTTGCAATCTAGCAATCTCTTAACTATCAGTAATGTTAAGTGTAGGCTTATGAATATAGATCCGTGAAACTAAATAAAAGGAAATAAAGTATACTGGAAGTATAGGCACTGGTGGAGTGCTTGCATCGTGTAAAGGAAGCCCTGAGTTCAACCCCCAGTCCCCCCCCACACACACCCACATAAAACTGTGTAGTAGGGGAAAAGGTTTTCCGTTATTCACAGACACTGTTATAAACTTCACAGCTCATCGGGGGAGGGGCGAACGTTGGGAGTGGCACTTGAGATGAAATACAGAAATAAAATGTCAAAAAATGTGGTAAAGAACCTCATTGTGCCCCCTGACCGAGAAAAAAAAAAGAACCTCATTGTGAAATTAATATCCATCTAACTATAGCCGTTTGACTTGCTGCAGGAATGCCTAGTTGCAAGTACACACTAATGCATAACACAGTGGTGGGTAGCTGTGGATATGCGAACGGAGTATGCGCACTGAGTGCCCAAGTCAGGTGCCCGTTTGCTGGGTGAGGTCGGAAGTGGCTATTGTGTACAGGCTGTACACTTAGTGGGCGGGGCCTGCCACAACTGCGCGACGTGGTGGGCGGGGTCTGAAATGGCGACGTAACGTGATCACATGGTGACGTTACGCCATCACGTGTACGTTTGCTCCCAGAAGCACTTGCTTTTTCCGCTTCTCCGGTGCGGGTGACGCAGTTTCGAACCCGCTCTTCCGAAAGTGGCTTTGGGGAGTGGCTTTTTCCGTTTGTAGACTGCTTACGCGCTTCTCTGGAGGTGAATTTCTTCACTGACGAGTAGCCCGGTGGCAAATCCGCTACAAAGACTTCCGCCATGGCGTCAGAAAACATTATCTATATTACCACAGAAAACGCGGAATTTCCGGCCGATATTCTCGAGGTAGGCGGAGGAGGCGCGGTAGAGGGTCTGCCTGAGGAGGCTCTGACTGTCTACCAGGATCTCAGTGGTGATTGGGCTCACGGTGGTCATTACGACTCCCCTCTCATTGCTCTGCAGCCGTTAGGTATTGGCAGCCTGAGCCACGGAGACCATGACCAGGAAGTGATCGTGGTGCAGACCCGAGAGGAAGTGGTGACCTGCCACGATTCCGAGTGCGTACCCGCCATCCATGAGATCTTCGACCAGGTACCCATTCCGTGCCCTGATATTGATGACGACTTCGAGCAGACCCTAGCCGCCCTCGCAGCTTCAATGGAGTCCGTCGCATACGGACCCAGCTATGAGGGCAACGACAACGATCCCGGCTATGTGTGTGATGCCTACCAGGATCTTGGCTTCAGTTATGAGCACCAAGATAATCAGGAGCTCAGCAGTAATAGCTACCACGGCCAAAAGGAGAGCAACCAGACGGAAGAGGGCACCAGCAGCCAGGTCAGTGATGGCATCAGCTGTGCCGACCTGGGGCTGCAGGAGCAGGTGCAGTTCCCAAACCTGGAGGGTGAGTTCTCCATCACTATGTGGGCTACCAGCGAGAAAAGTGAGCCTGAGAGCCCCAAAGAAGCAGAAAGTTCACCTCCCGATTACTCCGAGTATTTGATGGGGAAGAAATTTCCTCCTGGGGGCATACCTGGTGTTGACCTCTCCGATCCCAAGCAACTTGCCGAATTTACTAGCATGAAGCAGAAGAAACTCAAAGAAGATGGGCCGAGAACCACCCCGTGTGCTCATCCGGGCTGCGTGAAGATGTTCAAGGATACTGCGGCTATGAAGAAGCACCTGCATATCCACGGGCCCAGAGTGCATATGTGTGCTGAGTGCGGCAAGGCCTTTGTGGAGAGCTCCAAGCTGAAACGCCACCAGCTAGTCCACACTGGTGAGAAGCCTTACCAGTGCATCTTTGAAGGCTGCGGCAAGCGCTTCTCGCTTGATTTCAACCTGCGCACCCATGTCCGCATCCACACCGGAGACCGGCCCTTCGCATGCCCCTTCCATACATGCAACAAGAAGTTTGCCCAATCTACCAACCTGAAGTCACACATCCTAACCCACACCAAAAATATGCACAACCACTGAAGATGAGAGAGGGGACAGAAATGTTCCTTCTTTCTACATGCCCCAAAGTTTGAAAATGAATTTTCCGTTAGCTGCTGGTCAGCATTTGTTTGGGATAGAAGTAGTAAATTTCCAAAAGGAGCGTGTGTACGGGATGTTACTGAGACTGTTCATCTTGTTAAGTGATGGTATTTCTGAGAATTTGGGTTTCAATAGACAAATTCGTGGATGTCACATCAAAAAAGACAGTCGCCTGATTGAAGAACTGGTTAAAAACGACTTTATCTTTTTTGGTGGTAGAGTTTCTAGGAACTTTGGTTTCAATAGACTAATTCGTGAACCGTACATCCAAAAGGCCTGACTAGAGAACTGGTTAAAATCTGGACTTTTTATATAAGTACCAATAGCACTTAGTTTGTTTATAATTTTTTAAATTTTTTAAGTGTTTTTTAAGTGTTCATGTTACGCTTTTACAACTATGTGTGTCTTTTCTAGAAGTTGACAACTTTGGTTTTAAAAGTTTGCTGTAAAAAATGTTTTATAGATATTTTTCTGCTACTATAAAAAAGGTGTATGGGTTTTGTTTACAATCTTAGTATTGGTTATCTTCCTTGAATTGAGCATATTTTTTTTTACAAAATTTAGCTATACAGAGTAACACAGTAATGTCATCAGTGAGTTCAGACCTGGCAGTCACTTTGGGTTTTTTTTCAATATTAATTAGGTGCTTTTGAGTGTAATTTGTTTGATTGAAGTAGTGGTTAGTATAATTTTTCTCTTTATTAGTGGATACCTTATATGTAAACATCTTGTGTAACAGAAAAATAAAATAAAACAGTTCTAAAAACAACTGGCCTGCATGTATGTATATATAAATATATGTATATATCATTACTAAAAATACAGGAATGGGAAAAAATTAAAAATTTTAAAACATAAAGGGAACTGGGTACTTGGTGGCTCTTGACATCTACCACTGGCACACAAAAAAGCAGAAAGGACAAGGTATAGCACAAGAAGAAGAGTATCTTTGAAAAAAATGTGTTATTACTAGGACTTGTACTCTGGACCTTACACTCTTACACACCTCCTCTTCTGTGCTGATCCTGGAGCTTAAATTTAAGAGCCTGGGCACTATCCCTGAGCTTTTGTCCTCAAGGCTAGCACACTAGCACTCACAGCTCTACTTCTGGCTTTTTTGGTGGTTAATTGGAGATAAAAGTTTCATGGCTTTTTCCTGCCTGAACTGGCTTTGAACTAAGAGCCTCAGATCTCAGCTTTCTCAATAGCTAGGACTACTGGCCCGAGCCACTGTCAACCTGGCTTAAAAATAGGCTTAAAGTGCCAATTAAGCCAGAAGCCACATGCTGGTGGCTCACTCCTTTAATTCTTGCTATGCAGGAGGCTGAGATCTGATTATGGTTCATACCATCCCAGGCAGGAAAGTCTTTGATAACTCTTCAGCTCCAATTAACCACCAAAAAAAAGCCAGAAGTGGAGCTGTGGCTCAAGTGGTAGTGCACTAGCCTTGAGTAAAAAAGCTCAGGAACAGTGCCAAGGTCCTGAGTTCAAGCCCAGAACCAGCCCCTTCCCCACCCCACGCCAAAAAAGAGTCTCACACACTTTCCTGCTCAGCATGTTGTGGGGCCTGGGAGAGAGTGAGGGAAAGGGTGACACAGTCCAAAAAGAAATGGACGTGGGGCGATGGGGCGGTGGGATAGAGGAACGAGAGTGTGATTCCAGCGATCAGGCGCCGCTTATTCCCGTCGCTTGTTCCCGCCGCTTATTCCCACCGTTTGTTCTTGCTGCCAAAGCTATGCATCTCCCTGCCACCACCAAAGCTGGCAGCCATATCTGAGGAGGGATTAAAAAACGGATAAAAGCCACAGCAACCGGAAGGTGGGGGAGGGGCGGGAGTGTCCTGCTGCGTAGTTCAAGATGGAGAGACTCACCTTGAGCAAGTGGATGAAGGCCTACTATAAGAGGCAGGGCTTGTCAATTAGATTGTGATAGATAAAACAGACTGGCACAGCTGGAAGTGAAGACACCATAGAGGTCTTTGGGAGGGGCCGAATAGGAGACACAGCCTCCCTAGGGTACCATCCGCACATCTACCATCACCACTACCGTTATTCCCATTTTTTACTGTTGAATGGTGAACTTGTGGCCTTGCCGATCACAGAAGCCTCTGCCAGAGTCAAGAAGTTCGTTGGGTACATTAAAAATATTATGGACTCGATAAATTTATACTATATAATAAGCTATAGGTCACTATTGTGGGTGATTCTAGGAATAATACGAGCTTTTATGTACCTACTATGTCTTCTGGTGACCTGAAAAATGTTTGAAAGTTGAGATAGGGTTTTGATTTTTCTTCTTCTTTTTTTTTTTTTTTTTTTTTGGTCCGGTCATGGGGCCTGAACTCTGGGCCTGGGCGCTGTCCCTCAGCTCTTCAGCTCAAGGCTAATGCTCTACCACTTGAGCCACAGCGCCACTTCTGGCTTTTTTCTTTTTGCTTATGTGGTGCTGAGGAATTGAAGCTAGGGCCTCAGGCATGCAAGGCAAGCGCTCTACCACTGAGCCACCTTCCCAGCCATTCTTCTTCTTTTTTTTATGCCAGTACTTGGACTTGAACTTCACACCTTGAGCTCTCTCTGTTTTTCACTCACAAGCTGGTATTCTACCACTTAAGCCATCCCTCCAGCTCCAGCGTTTTGCTGGTTAATCTAAATCAGATTAAGACTTTAGTACCTGACAGGAAGGCAGCCTCTAACAGAGTATCTGCCTACTGTACTTGTTAGTACTCTGCTTCACAGCTTCTCATCGCTTTATTAATTCTCAGAATATATGTGTGTTATAAATCTGGCTACCTATATCATTCTTGCTCTTGATGAACTTACTAATGCTTTTGTCTCTTTGCAGGTATCTGGCATAATTTCGTCCTTGCCCTCCTGGGTATTTTAGCTCTTGTCCTCCTCCCAGTAATTCTCTTGCCTTTTTACTACACTGGAGTGGGAGTGCTTATCACAGAAGTTGCTGAGGTAAATAATGGATCTCTCATGGGGCATTTTTCACCAGATGTTGTGATATAATACTTAACAATGTTATGTCTTCTTTTTTTTTTGGTGTCAGTACTTGGGCTTGAACTCAGCCCCTTTGATTCTTGCTGGACTTATTTGCTCATAGCTGGAACTCTAACACTTGAGCCAGGCCTCCAATTAAGGCTTTTTGCTAATTAACTGAAGATAGATTCTTGTATCTAGGCTGTCTTTGTACAGGGTTCCTGACATCTCAGCCTTGTAAATAGTTAGGAATACAAGCATGAGCCATTGGCAATCAGCTGGATTGTGTGTGTGTATGCCAGTCCTGGGGCTTGAATTCAAGGTATGAGTGCAGTACCTGAGGTTTTTTTACTCAAGACTAGTGCTCTGCCACTTGAGCCACAGCTCCACTTTCAGATTTTTTTTTTGCTGGTTAATTGGAAACAACAGTCTTATTGGGATTGGAGGCATGACTGGTTTGAGTAATAATTAAAGCATCAGGTACTGAGTTCCAGTTCTGGTCTCACAACAAAAAGAAAGAAGTGTCTCATGGACTTTCCTGTCCATGCTGACTTTGAACCATAATCCTCAGATCTCAGCCTCCTAAATAGCTAGGATTACAGGAGTGAGCCACCATTGCCTGGCTTCCAACTGGGTTTTTTTACTTTTTCTCTGCCAGTCCTGGGGCTTGAACTCAGGCCCTGGGTGCTGTCTCTCTCTTTTTTTTCTAAAGTCTAGCACCCAACCACTTGAACCCCAGCTCCACTTCCAGTTAATTAGAGATAAGTCTTCTGCCCAGGCTGGCTTTGAACTATAAATCTCAGATCTCAACCGCCTGAGTAGCTAGTGTTATAGACATGAGCCACCAGCATCCAGCCCCAGCTGGATTTATGTTTTTAAACTGGAAAAATGTCTCACTCTTAGATGATTTATTAGATTTTTTTATTTTGTTAATTGTCTAGATACATAGATCTTAAATTCAAAGGTAAATTGTTTTATACAGTATGCAAAATATTCTACTGAAATAGCTCAGTTTATATTGTTTGCTTAGATTAATCATAATTTATCTTTTTTTTTCTTTTGCTTTTTGTTGGTTGTGGGGCTTGAACTCTGGGGCTGGGATAACTTATCTTTATATATTGTCTGATTTGGTTTTGCCATCTTTCCAAGGATTCACCTGCCATTGGACCCCGAGGCCTTTTTGTGGGAGACCTTGTCACTCATTTACAGGACTGTCCTGTTACTAATGTGCAAGACTGGAATGAATGTCTGGATACCATTGCCTATGAGCCCCAAATTGGTTACTGCATAAGCGCATCAACTTTACAACAGTTAAGCTTCCCAGTCAGAGGTATGTATATTAGTAAAATGCGTCCAACACCAGAACTTTGCAGTTACTAACCCTTAGACCATATCTATAGATTTACTTCATTCTTTTTTAAATTTGTGTCAATTGTGGGGCTGGACCTTGGGGCCTCTCACTCTTGCTGAGCTTTTTCACTCAGGGTTAGTGCTTTACCACTTGAGCCATGCCTCTACTTCTGGCTTTTTGCTGGTTAATTGAATATGAACTCTAGCATTTGTCTGCCTGGGCTGGCTTTGAATCTTGAGCCTCATCTTTCAACCTCCTGAGTAGCCAGGATTACAAGTATGAGGCATCAGAACCTGGCTCGCACATGCACTCTGTCTCTTTCTTGTTCTCTCTCTTTCTGTTTTCCTTTGGTTGGTGTGGATACTCCGACTTGAACTCAGGGCCTGGGCACTGTTCATGAGCTCTTTCCTGCTCTACTGTTTGTGGTATTTTGGTGTTTAATTGGAAAAAAGGGGCCTCATGGACTTTTTTCTTCCTGGGCTGGTTTCAAACTGCAATCCACAGATCTTAGCCTCCTGAGTAGCTAGGTTTGCAGGCATGAGCCACTAGCACCTGGCTCATTCAATCTTTTGTTTTGCTTTTGTTTTTGTTTTTTACTGGTCCTGGGTGGGGCTTGAACTCAAGATCTGATCACTGTTTCTGAGCTTGCACTCTATACTTTGAGCCACAGATCCATTTCTACCTTTTTGGTGGTTAATTGGAGATAAAAGTCTCATGGACTTTCCTGTCCAGAGCTGGCTTTGAACTGTGATCCTTTCAGATCACAACCTCCTGAGTAGCTAGATGTACAGGTGTGAGTCATGGGAACCTGGCTCATTCTAATTTTTAAAATAAATCAGTAGGGGCTGGGAAGGTGACTCAGTGGTAGAGTGCTTGCCTCGCATGCATGAGGCCCTGGGTTCAATTCCTCAGCACCACATAAGCAGAAAAAGCTGGAAGTGACACTGTGGCTCAAGTGGTAGAGTGCTAGCCTTGAGCTGAAGAGCTGAAGGACAGTGCCCAGGCCCAGAGTTCAGCCTCCATGACTGACAAAAATAATAATAATAATAATAAATAAATCAGTAAAATAAATTGTTACAAACTAATATTCCCCTTGGCATGCTAGATATTAATATGTGTATTTTCTTTACTATATATTGTTCTTTTGTGGGTGTGTACCAGTCCTGGGACTTGAAATCAGGGCCTAAGCACTGTCTCTGAGCTTCTTAGGCTTAAGACTAGCACTCTACCACTTGGACTACAGCTCCACTTCTGGATTTTCTAGTGGTTAATTGTAGGTAAGAGTCTCAAGGTCTGGCTTTGAACTGCGATCCTCATATCTCAACCTCCTGAGTAGCAAGAATTACAGGTGTGAGCCACCAGCACCAACTTGGCTTTCATTTCTTTTTTTAAAATTCTTCTGTCAGTCTAGGGGCTTGAAATTAGGGCCAGGGCACTGTCGCTGAGCTTTTTTTTGCTCAAGGCTAGCACTCTACCACTTTAAGCCACAGCTCTGCTTCCTGTTTTCAGGTGGTTAATTGGAATAAGAATCTTGGTGGGGGTACCTCTGGGCCTCTGTTTCCCTTCTGATTTTTTCCTCCCTGCCCCTTTTCTTCCTTTCTGGGTCCCCCCCTCTATTCTTTGTGTCTCCCTTCACCCACCCTACCATCTCAGTTCCCCTACCCTGGGCCCCTGGGGGAATCCCCTCTGAGAAGAGCCAGCCCATGGAAACTGACAGCCTTGGTCTGGTTCCTACCCCCACTGCCTGTGAGTTACCTTTTTTGGCCTTTTGGCTAGAGTGACCTTGATCAGATTTCTCTTTGGGGAAGTCCTGGCTACTTTAATTCAGCTTAGGAAAGCAAAATGGTTGAAACTAACCTCAACTTGAGATCTTCCTGCTTCAGCCTCCTGAATGCTGGAATTACAGGTGAAATGCTAGAAGCTATCAATAGTCTTTACACTGAATGTCTCTGAATTATACTTGATAAATTCAGTTCTTAATACTTCACCTGGGGAAGTGGCACTGTGGCTTACAGCAGTAGAGCGCTAACCTTGAGTGAAAAAGCTCAGGCACAGCACCCAGGCCCTAAGTTCAAGCTCCACAACTGACAAAAATAAAAATGAAATAAAGTAAAACAAATACTTCACCTGCATGAATGAGGAAATACAAATGTGCTAGAGCTCATATTAAAGTTGTTTCTTGCATGTGATGTCATTCCAGCCATGGACTCATGGAGATTGAGCATGTATTAAGGGTCTCACTGTGTGGTCCTGGCTGACTTTAATTATTAGAGTCTTCTGCCTCAGCCTCCCAATTGCTGGGAGTACAGGTGTACACCAACTTGCCTAACTCCTATTTTACTTTTCTGATCATTATTTTTTTTCTTGTTATATTTAGGTTTAGAACTCAGGGCCTTGCACTTGCTATGTAAGTACTCTACTAGTTGAGACATGCCCACACCCTTTTGGCTTTAGTTATTTTTTTCAGAGAGAGTTTTGAAGTTTTTACATGGACTACCCTTGAACATAGTCCTCTTTCCTATGCTTCCTGCATATCTGGGATTACAGGTGTAAATTACCACACCTGGCTTATATTCAGGGGCTGGACTCTAACTTCTTGCCAGAGCTGGCCTAAAATCAAGATTCTCCTGGGGGCTGGGAAGGTGGCTCAGTGGTAGAGTGCTTGCCTTGCATGCATGAGGCCCTGGGTAAAATTCCTCAGTACCACATAAGCCGAAAAAGCCGAAGTAGCACTGTGGCTCAAGTGATTGAGTGCTCGCCCTGAGCTGAAGAGCTGAAGGACAGCCCCCAGGCCCAGAGTTCAGGCCCCACAACCGACAAAAAAAAAAAAAAAAAGATTCTTCTTGGGGCTGGGAAGGTGGCTTAGTGGTAGAGTGCTTGCCTAGCATGCATGAAGCCTTGGGCTCAATTCCTCAGTACCATATAAACAGAAAAAGCCAGAAGTGGTGCTGTGGTTCAAGTGGTAGAGTGCTATCCTTGAGCCAAAAAGCTCAGAAACATTGCCCAGGCCCTGAGTTCAAGCCCCAGAACTGGCCCCCCCCAAAAAAGGATTCTTCTTATCTATGCTTCTTTAGTAGGTGGGATTACCATCATGAGCCACATTGTGCCATCATTAAAAAAAAATAAAATAAAATAGGTCAGGCGCTGGTAGCTCACGCCTGTAATCCTAGCTACCTTGGAGGCTGAGATCTGAGGATCACAGTTTAAAACCAACCTGGGCTGGTCCATAAGACTCTTATCTCTAGAAAATGGGAAGTGGCACTGTGACTCAAGTGGTAGAGCGCTAGCCTTGAGCTGAAGAGCTCAAGGACAACGCCCAGGCCCAGAGTTCAAGCCCCATGACTGTCAAAATTAATTAATTAATTAATTTAATTTTAAAAAAACAATCCTGCTGGGAATGTGGCTTAGTGGTAGAGCACTTGCCTAGCATGCATGAAGCTCTGGGTTCAATTCCTTAGTACCACATACACAGAAAAAGCCGAAAGTAGCTCTGGCTCAAGTGGTAGAGTGCTAGCCTTGAGCAAAAAGAATCAGGGACAGGGCCCAGGCCCTGAGTTCAGTCCCCAGGATTGGCACAAAAATAATGCCTACCAATAGGTATTTGTAAATAAATTTTTAGAATTTTGAATTCAGATAAATAAGAAAATACCTGAGCATAGTGTTTAGAACATAGTATTCAATAAATGATAGGTGCTACTGTTGTTACTTGAAATGATTGCTTCCTGTGGTCAGAGCCTGGGGCCTTCATATTAAAGATAATAACAATGAGAAAATATCCTTTTTATGCAGCTTCTTATCCTTCTGTAGTAAATAATAATACTCTCCTTTAAAAAAAAGTCTTAAGGACTTTCCTTCTCAGGCTGGCTTCTAACTATGATCCTCAGATCTCAGCCTCCTAAATAGCTAGGATTACAGTTGTGAGCCAATGGAACCACACACATGTGTGTGTATCCATACACATACACACACACACATATACATATTTGTGTATATGTATGGTTGTCAGGTTGGTTGTGGGGCTTAAACTCAGAGCCTGGGCACTGTCTTTGAGCTTTTTTGCTCAAGTCTAGTCTCTACCACTTTGAGCCACAGCTCCACTTCTGGTTTTCTAGTGGTTAATTGGAGATAAGAATCTCACAGTTTCCTTCCCGGGCTGGCTTTGAACCACAGTCCTCAGATTTCAGCTTTCTGAGGAGCTAAGAATACAGGTGTGAGCCACTGGCACCCGACTTCCAACTTTTTTGGTGGTTTATTGGAGATAAATGTCTCATGAACTTTGCTGCCTGGACTGGCTTCAAATCATGATCTTAGACCTCATCTTCCTGAATAGCTAGAATTACAGGCATGAGCCACTGATGCCCCATGGGAACTATATACTTTTTCTTTTTTTGTTGGTTGTGGGACTTGAACTCTGGGCCTGGGCGCTGTCCCTCAGCTCTTCAGCTCAAGGCTAGTGCTCTACCACTTGAGCCACAGTGCCACTTCTGTTTTTCTGGTGGTTTATTGGAGATAAGAGTCTCATGGACTTTCCTGCTGGGCTAGTTTTGAATTGTGATCCTCAGATCTCAGCCTCCCCTAGGATTACAGGCATGCGCCACCGGTGCATGGCTAGGAACCATATTCTTTAATGTTCAAATATTTTCCAATTTCTCTAGCCTCTAGAGCTACCTAACATCTTCCAAAAGTTTTCCTAATAGACCATTCTCCACTATCTCTTTCACTAAGAAAGGAGTTACTGGAGTTACTATTGCTAAACCTTTTGAGACCCTGAAACGCCAGCTGGATAAATTAAATTTATTTATTTATTTATTTTGCCAGTCCTGGGGCTTGAACTCAAAGCCTGGGCACTGTCCTTGAGCTTCTTTTGCTCAAGTCTTCACTCTACCATTGAACCACAGTGCTACTTCTGGCTTTTTCTATTTATATGGTACTGAGGAATTGAACCAGGGCTTCATGCATGCTAGGCAAGCACTCCTACTAAGCCACATTCCTATCCCAAGTTGAGTTAAATTTATGAGGGCATACATCATAAAGTCACTGTGGTTTCTTCCCTTTTTTTTGTCGGTTGTGGGGCTTAAACTCTGGGCCTGGGAATTGTCCCTCAGCTCTTCAGCTCAAGGCTAGCACACTACCACATGAGCCACAGCACCACTTCCGGTTTTCTGGTGGTTAATTGGAGATAAAAATCTCAGGGACTTTCCTGCTGGCTTTGAACCATGATCCTCAGATCTCAGCCTCTTGAGTAGCTAGGATTATAGGTGTAAGCCACTGGTGCCCAGCTCACTGTGGTTTCTTGATTTCAAATTAATTGAATCCCCTTTCAGAGTGTGAAATTAAACTACAGCAAACAGCTGTCAAACTGAACTCTGAATTAGACAACTCCTTTCATATACATGTGCCATTTTCCTTTTATGTGAGTGTGTGCCAGTACTGGGCTTAAACTCAGTGCCTAAGTGCTGTCCCTAAAGTGTTTTTGTTGTTGTTGTTGTGTTTGGGTCAGGACTACTGTCCTATCACTTGAGCCACAACTTCACTTCCAGATTTTTTTGGTGATGATTAGAGATAAGAATCTCATGCACACTCCTGCCTAGGCTGGCTTCAAACTACAATCCTCAGATATCAGCCTCCTGAGTAGCTAGGATTACAAGCATTGGCGACTGGTACCCAACTACTTTTATTTTTTTTGTCTTAAAAAAGCTAAATATTTCTAGGCGCCATTGGTTCACACCTACAATCCTATCTACTCATGAGACTGAGGTCTAAGGATCATGGTTTGAAGCCTTTCCAGACAGAAAAGTCCCTGAGACTCTTATCTCTAATTAACAACAACAACAACAAAAAGCCAGAAGTGGAGATATGTCTAATGTGGTAGAATAGTAGCCTTGAGCAAACAAAAGCTCAGGGACAATGCCCAGGCTCTGAGTTGGAGCCCCGGTACTAGCACAAAAAAATACTAAATATTATCCACATATCAATGGCTCACAGCTATAAACCTAGGTAATCATGAGCCTAAGATCTGAGGATTGAAGTTCAAAGCTAGCCCAGACAGGAAAGACAGTGTCCAGGCCCTGAGTTCTAGTCACCTGACAGGCATACACACAAACATACACACCACACACACACAATAGTGCCAGGTATTGGTGGCTCACGCTTGTAAACCTAGCTACTGGGGGGGCCTGAGATCTGAGGATCACTGTTCCAAGCCAGGCAAGGCAAGAAAGTTACCAAGACTATCTCCAATTAACCATCAAAAACTTGGAGGCAGAAGTGTTTTTCTGATTTTAGAGTGTAACCTGGAACAAAAAACCTAAGGGACAGCATCTCATCCCAGAGTTCAAGTTATAGTAAGGGCATAGAAAAGTTAAGTGTTTGCTATAAATACACTTGTATGAACTGAGTGCTGGTGGCTCATGTCTGTAATCCTAGCTACTCAGGAGGCTAAGATCTGAGGGTTGTGGTTCAAAGCCAGTCCAGGCAGAAAAGTCCCAAGAGAGTCTTATCTCCAATTAACCATGCAAAAAAAAATGGGAAGTGGTACTGTGGCTCAAGTGGTAGAGCACTAGCCTTGAGCACAAAGAAGCTTGGGGACAGTGCCCAGGACCTAACGTCAATTCCCACAACCTACAAAAAAAATCCTTGTACATAAGTAATTCTAATCAGCACTGTGTTTTTCTTTAGCATACAAACGACTAGATGGTTCCACTGAATGCTGCAATAATCATAGCCTCACAGACGTGTGTTTTTCCTACAGAAATAATTTTAACAAGCGCTTGGTAAGTTGTCCCCAAGGCCTGTCTGATTTAATTCTTACAAAAGAAATAAAAAAAAAATGGGGCTGGGAAGGTGGCTCGGCGGTAGATGCTTGCCTTGCATGCATAAGGCCATGGCTTCCATTCTTCAGCACCACATCAGCAGAAACAGCCAGAAGTGGCGCTGTGGCTCAAGTGGGAGAGTACTAGCCTTGATCTGAAGAGCTGAGGGACAGTGCCCAGGCCCAGAGTTCAGGCCCCATGACCAACCAAAAAAAAGTAAAAAAAAAAAAAAAAAGATGTGACCATAACCCCCACTCTGTACATCACCAGTATAGCAATAAAAACTAAAAATAAATAAATAAAAAGTCAAAAAGCATGCTGGGCACCAGGGGTTCACTGTAATCCTAGCTATTCAGGAGGCTGAGATCTGAGGATCATGGCTCAAAGCCAGCCTGGTCAGGAAAGTCCCTGAGATTCTTATCTCCAATTAACCAACAGAAAATCGAAAGTGGCACTGTGGCTCATGTGGTAGAGCACTAGCCTGAGCTAAAGAGCTCAGGGAGGGCTGGGAAGGTGGCTCAGTGGTAGAGCGCTTGCCTTGCATGCATGAGGCCCTGGGTTCCATTGCTCAGCACCACATAAGCAGAAAAAAAAAGCCAGAAGTGGTGCTGTGGCTCAAGTGGTAGAGCACTAGCCTTGAGCTGAAGAGCTGAGGGACAGCGCCCGGGCCCAGAGTTCAGGCCCACGACCAGACCCAAAAAACAACAAAAAAAAAAACCATATTGAAGCTTGTGTTTTTTGTTAGTAAATGAATCATTTTTAATATTGACTACTTTTTTTTATTTATAGCATACATGTCTACCTGCCCGGAAAGCAGTTGAAGCTACCCAAGTTTGTAGAAGCAATAAAGATTGTAAAAAAAGTTCAAGTTCAAGTTTCTGTATAATACCTTCTTTAGAAACTCATACTCGCTTAATAAAAGTGAAGCACCCACCCCAAATTGATATGTTGTATGTAGGACATCCATTACATCTTCACTACACTGGTGAGTATTAAATACTATGGTAGAGCCTTAGAAAAACATTAATATCACGTATATTGCCAGGTACCTGTGGCTCACGCTTGTGATCTTAGCTATCCAGGAGGTGAGATCTGAGGATCACAGTTTCTAAGCCAGCCTGGAAGGGAAAGTTCATGAAATTCTCATCTCCAATTAACAACCACCAAAAAGCCACACTAAAACTGTGGCTCACGTGGTAGAATGCTAGCCTTGAGCAAAAGAGCTCAGGAACAGTGCTCAGGCCATAATTTCAAGCCTCAGAATCCACACACACACACACACACACACGCCCGCACACACACACACGCACACGCACACACACACACACACAAACCATAAATAGTTTCTTCGGTAGAAACTTAATACAAATCCCTGCATTGATTTTTTTTTTAATTATAAGTTTGGTCACTTGTTAAAGGGCTTAAGCTTTTTTATTTAACTGTATTTTTTTGGGGGGGGGAGGTCCGGTCGTGGGGCCTGCACTCTGGGCCTGGGTGCTGTCCTTCAGCTCTTCAGCTCAAGGCTAGCACTCTACCACTTGAGCCACAGTGCCACTTCCGGCTTTTTCCTTTTTGCTTATGTGGTCCTGAGGAATCGAACCCAGGGCCTCATGCATGCAAGGCAAGCACTCTACCACTGAGCCACCTTCCCAGCCCCTTAACTGTATTTTTTGTCTTCTCTTTTCCTTTTTGGGGGGGGAGTCATGGGGCTTGAACTTGTCCCTGAGCATTTTTTACAAAAGTCTATGTGTACCCTTTGAGCCACAGCCCACTTCTGGTTTTCTGGTTAGTTGGAGATGAGAATTTCATGAACTTTCCCTTCTAGGCTGGCTTAGAATAGTGATCCTCAGATCCCAGCCTCCTGAGTAGCTAGGATTATAGGCCTGAGCCACCAGTGCCCAACTTTGCTAGCTTGCTTCCTTGCTTCCTTTTTTTTTTTTTTTTGGGTGATAGCAAGTCTCTGAACTCATTTTTTTTTTTTTTTTTTTTTTTTTTGGTACTGGGTATCAAACCCAGGACACTGCACTTGCTAGGCAAGTACTTTGCCACTTGCCTACATCCCAGTCCTAAAATGCTTACGCTTTAGTGAAATTTAGCCATACAATAACCTGAATTTATGAAGCAAGATAGAGAACTTACCTGAAGAAAGTGATGCATTTTTCCTTCTCCACTATTTATGCCCAAAACAAATAGGTGATCTCTCAGATGTTCTCAGTTCATAAATTCATCTGGGCTCTCCAATTGAGTGGCAGTAGCTGCATCCCCTCAAGAAAACCAGGATACATAGTGATATGACTAGTTTATGTATAACACATGGATTTTGTATGATTAAACTAAAAAAATAGCTTCCCCGTTCCCTATGTTGCTGGGCACCAATGGCTTACGTCTATTATAGTGTCTGTTCACCAGGCTGAGATCTGAGGATGGCAATTTGAAACCAGCCTAGACAGAAAAAGCGCATGAGACTCTTGTCTCCAATTGCCTAGCAAAAAGCCAGAAGTAGAATTATTAAGTACTGGCAAGGAAGGAAGGAAGGAATCCTTATGGTACTTTTTCTGTTAATAGTTTACCATACAATTCACTCATTCAAAGTGTACAATTCAATGGTTTTTAAATTTCTATGCTTCCCCAATCCCTGTAGCCCTTGGCTATCACTAATGTAATTTCTGTTTGTATAAATGTGCCTCTCTGGGGCATTTCATATAACTGGAATCTTTTATGATTATCATATTTCATGTAGCATAATGTTTTCAAGGCATCTTTGACAGATTATATTTTCTTGGTTCATCCATTAGTTAATGGATATGAGTTTTATATTACTCTAAAAAGCTTTCTCATTGCTTTGTAGTCATCTATCGAGAAACAATTGGACTCATTTTTCTTACTGGTTTGACACTAACTGACTCTAGACTGTGAATATTAAATACAGTCATGACATATGAAGAAATGACCCTACTTTGAGTAATACAGAAATGTGTATTTATTTATTTTAGACAAAAATCAATATTAAGGCCTCTGTACTTGATAGTACTAATTGGTCGATAGCTTTATTTCACTCTCACCTGAAAACATCAGAGCTGGGTGCTGGTAGTTCACACCTGTAATCGTACCTATGCAGAAAGCTGAGATATGAGGATCATGGTTTGAAGTGAGTCTGTGAGACTTTTATCTCCAATTAACCACCAGAAAACTGGAAGTGGTACTGTGGCTCAAAGTGGTAGAGTGCAAACCTTCAGCAAAAGAGCTCAAGGACAGCACTCAGGCCCTGAGTTCAAGCCCCATGACACTAGGATATTAATTTTTTATCCTGCCTTTTTAAAATTTTATCTGTGTGTATTTGTCAGTACTGGGGCTTGAACTCAAGGCCTAGGTACCACCTCTTAGCTATTTCCACTCAAAATTGATACTCTACCACTTGAGCCACACCTCCACTTCCAGCTTTTTCTTGTTAAGAGTCTAGGATTTGTCTATTGGCCTGGCTTCAAATCACAATCCTCAAATTACAGCCTTCCAAGTAGCTAAGATTACAGGTGTGAGCCACCCATGTCATTTAATGCCATTGTTCTTTGTTCATTGGTTTTATATATGAGGAATATAGTCTGGCTATATATGCTTTAAAAAGATGTTCTCAGCCAATTTAATAAGTTAGCCTAATATTGTACTATATGGTAAATTTCAGAGTACTTCTGGTTATCGGTTATGAAAAATATTCATAATTTCTTTTGTTTCCTTTTTTAGTGAGCATCACCAGTTTTATTCCACGTTTCAATTTTCTAAGCATAGATCTGCCAGTGATTGTGGAGACATTTGTCAAGTATCCTTTTGGTGTTAAAAAAAAAAGATTTAAAAAGTGTGTTTTGGGGCTTGGGAATGTGGCTTAGTGGTAGAGTGTTTGCCTAGCAGGCATGTGACCCTGGGTTTGATTCCTCAATACCACACAAGCAAAAGAAAGTGTGATTTGGAGCTTGATCACATTTGCCTTATATAAAACATTACAAATATGAATTTTACTATAAGTATCACTTAATTTAAAAAAAGATTTTAAAGTTGAAAGAGACCAGGTTTATATGGAAGGGCAGAAGTGAGAGAAGAAAGATTAATGAGGAAGGGAATAATGTTCAAATGTGGAAGCGGAGGAATTCAGAATATAAAAAGAGAATTGAATTAACAGGAAGTTTGTAACAGATAAAAGAGTTTGTTATTAGCCAGGTAATCGATTCTGCCAGATATGTAAATCCAGCACCCTGGTCTTAGGGAGGAATGCCTAAGGAAGATCAAACTGGTTTCTATTGCTGAAATAGTAATTCAGAGGACAAAAATTTTATGTGGTCTTTAGTATGTTATGTTTCCATGTATATAAAAGATGACTTTTAGGGCTGGGAAGGCGGCTCAGTGGTAGAGTGCTTGCCTTGTATGCATGAGGCCCTGGGTTCCATTCCTCAGCACCACATAATCAGAAAAAGCCAGAAGTGGCACTGTAGCTCAAGTGGTATTATGCTAGCCTTGAGCTGAAGAGCTGAGGGATAGTGCCCAGACCCAGAGTTCAGGCCCCATAACCGACCAAAAAAAAATATATGACTTTTTAAATCAGTTACTGTATAGAATTGAATTATTGGAAATTTTTGGAAGTACTTTTTGTGCCAGCACTAGGGGTTAAACTCAGGGCTTGGACACTGTCCTTGAACTTTTTCCCTCAAGGCCGATACTATACCACTTGAGCCACAGCTCCACTCCAGCTGCTGGTCGTTAATTGGAGATTAGAGTCTCATAGAATTTCCTGCCCAGCCTGTAGATAGGATTATAGGAGTGAGCTACCAGCGCCTGGCCGAAAGACTATTATCTCCATATAATCAGAGAAAAAGCTGGAAGTGGTGCTGTGGCTCAAGTGGTAGAGTGCTAGCCTTGAACAGCACCCGGGCCCAGAGTTCAAACCCCAGGAGACCCCTCCTCCCCCCCCCCCCCCGCAAAAAAAGAAATGAAAGAATAAGGGAATAAAACAAAAATGGAATACAAACGAGCACTTGCTAAAATTGTGTATAACCAAGACTGTACCTTGTAGATTCTGTACCTTTGTCACAGAGAGACATGCTATAACCTTATAGATGATGGCAAAAGAAGGCAGGGCTCACAGTCAAAATTTGTATTTCAGGGCTGTGAATACAGCTCAGTGGTAGAGTGCTTGCCTAGTATGCATGAAGCCCTAAGTTAGATTCCTCAGTAGCACATACACAGAAAAAGCCAGAAGTGGTGCTGTGGCTCCAGTGGTAAAGTGCTAGCCTTGAGCATAGAGAGGCTCAGGGGCAGTGCCCAGTCCGTGAGTTCAGGCCCCAGGATCACCAAAAAAAAAAAAACTATATTTTTTTTCCTCTTTCTTTCTTCCTTTTCCTTTATTTTATTGTTAAAAGACTACAATCTTCCAGGCACTGGTGGCTCGTGCCTGTACTCCTAGCTATTCCAGAGGCTGAGATCTGAGGATCCTTGTTCAAGTCCAGCCAGGGCAGGAAAGTCAGTAAGATTCTGGCACACACAAAAAGTAGATTCCCAAAGAATAAAGTCTTCCTAGGGGGTTATGTAGACTGTCTATAAGTGGTTTGCCTTTTTTTGTTTGTCAGGGCTTTTGAACTTCAAAATAATACATATTCCGTGTGTGTGTGTGTGTGTGTGTGTGTGTGCACGCGAGTGTACGCGTGCGCACATGGGCATGCGTGTGCACCCATGTGTGCTTGTATGTGATTATATGTATGTGGCGGTCCTAGTACTTGAACTCGGCCACTGTCCCTGAAATTTTGCTCAAGACTAGAGCTCTAACACTTGAGCCTTAACTCCACTTCTCGATTTTTGGTAGTCAATTGGAGATAAGAATCTTAGTACTAGCAGGGCACTGGAGGCTAGTGCCTGTAATCTGAGCTACTCAGGAGGCTGAGATCTGAGGATCATAGTTCAAAGCCAGCCCAGGCAGGAAAGTCTGTGAGACGCTTATCTCCAATAAACCACTAGAAAACCAGAAGTGATGCGGTGGCTCAAGTGGTAGAGCGCTGGCCTTGAGCTGAAGAGCACAGGGAAACCACACCCAGGCCCAGAGTTCAACCCCCACGAGAAAGACAAAAAGAAAAAGAAAAAAGAAAGAAAGAATCTTAGGACTTTCCTGCCACAGATTGGCTTTGAACCACAATCCTCAGACCTCAGCCTCCTGAGGGCTAGGATTGCAAGTTTGAGCTGCCAGCACCCTGCTGCAAATTCCTTCCTTCTTTCCTTCCTTCCTTCCTTCCTTCCTTCCTTCCTTCCTTCCTTCCTTCCTTCCTTCCTTCCTTCCTTCCTTCCTTCCTTCCTTCCTTCCTTCCTTCCTTCCTTTCTTCCTTTCATTCTTTTATGCCAGTCCTAGGGCTTGAACTCAGGGCCTGGGCACTGTCCCTGAGCCTCTCTATGCTCAAGGCTAGCACTCTACCACTTGAGCCACAGTGCTGCTTCCTACTTTTTGATGGTTAATTGGAAGTAACAGTTTTATGGACTTAACTGCCAGGGACTCGCCTTGAACCAGGATCCCAGATCTCAGCCTCCTGATTAGCCAAGATTATAGGCATGAGCCACTTTTACCTGGCACAAATTTCATTTGTTTTTTTTTTTTTTGCCTTGTCTTTCTTGGTACTGGGGTGCAAACCCAGAGCGTTGCATTTGCTAAGGAAGCACTTTGCCACTGAGCCACATCCCAGCCCACAAGTTGTGTTTTGAAATAGTAGAGAACTAAGAAGAAATGTTAGAGAGTTAAAGAAAGCAGAGAATTGTATTGTAATCTCAAACTCAGTCCCAGTCCAGTATATTCTGATTGCCCCAAAGGTGGTTTCCAATTGGACCTCACAGCTGGCTCCTTAACTGATTTTAACTCAGGTACCTGATTTCCCTCTCTGGAGCTCTGGCTATTGTGAATGCTGTCCCCTGCTTTGCCTTGGATGGTCAGTGGATTTTAAACTCTTTTCTGGATGCTACCCTTACCTCAGTGATTGGAGACAATGATGTCAAAGATCTGATAGGATTTTTTATCTTACTTGGTGGCAGTGTACTTTTAGCTGCCAATGTGACCCTGGGACTCTGGATGGTTACAGCACGGTAATATTTGCTCTCTTCTGACAGAATCTCCAAGTTCCCTTCTACATCTGTGTGGTAATATCCATTGCCATTAACATCCTTATTTAGTATGAAATGTATTTCTTTTTAGTTGCATCATGGCCAATATCACTGAGCTCCTCCTATATCTAGAGTACCCAAACTCTGTGGTGTAGGATGAGCAGAAGGAATGAAAGGCATAGTCCCCAACTCCATTTCTATTTTAAAAGACTGAATGTACAAATCTCACCTGTTTGTGGAACAATTGCTAAACAAGTACAAATTCATTCATATAGTACCATGTCCTGTGATTACATAGCATATTGAAGTAGTACAAAGGAGAGCAGAATTGAATAGAAATAATTAGGAAAATGTGTGTGTGGCTCTGGGGATCAAACCCATAGTCTCATATGCTAGGCAAGTGCTCTACCACTACACTACAGGCCCATCCCCAGGGAAAACCAGTTGAAATATCATCATTAAGCTGGATGTGGTGGTGCACACCTGTAGTTCCAGCACTCGGAAGATTAAAGCAGGAAGATTGCAAGTTTGAGGCCAGCCTGGGATCCATAGCAGGTTCCAGGCTAGCCTTGCCTACATATATAGCAAGACCCTGTCTCAAAAGCAAACCAAACAAACAAAGCACACCATCATTTCTAAAGATTTAAAAGAAATCAAATTTTGGCCAAGTAGAAAGGTGAATGTGTTCATAGCCTATATTTCTTATCCTCTGTCATATTTAAGAAGTATTTTAAACGTGGATGGTGTATTATTTTATACTCTGAAAACAGAAGTCTGATTAAAATTAAGTTTAATAAAATTCTATACGAGAATCTGTCTATATGACCGGAAAATCTTTGTCAGATGACACTAACAGACAAATTAGGAAGGAGGGCCTATGATCTCATGAGACAGTTTATACCACAAGCATTGCCTCTTTGTTAATGTGTGCTGCAGGAAGTATCTCACACAGCAGCATGTAAGCTCAGGCACTTAGAATTGAACCTCAGAAATATGCCAGGTTCTCTGATCACAAGACAGAATATAGAAACTTTAGCAGACCTGGTTACCATTCTCTAGAGTTCTGAAGCTCGGGAGCCTTCCAGGGTAGATATTGTCCCTTGTTGCAGCTGAGGCCATCTAAGGCCTATGTTCCTGAAGCATTAAACCCCAAGCTGCACTCTGTCCTCACCAGCAGCTCCCGTGTTTCTCTCTGTTGGGTGATCAGTCACCTAGCTCTTGCTTTCAGTGTCTCCCCTGAGCTACCTCTGTGGATCCACAGCAGTAATATGGTGAAAATGGCTTGCACATGAGACAGTATAAGGGTGGATTTGCCAAAGCCTGGGACTAGATTCTTAAACCTGACAGGCCTAGTCTTGTATCTAGTCAGTGGGCCCCGTGCAAAGTTGTTGCTCTGAGAAACATGGAAGCAAGCTATTTTCTTCATGCACAATGCACACTTCTGTCTTATACTCGAGAGGTGACAAAAGCAATAATTCATTAGTAGCCAGGTACCCGCCTTCACAAATTGAGGTGTTCCATGGAGTTACCTTTTTCAGATTATTAGCTACTCTTTAAGCACTAGAACTTTTAAATCATTTTTAGAAACTTTTTTAGATTGTACTACAAATTTGCCTTCCTTCTTAAACAAAAATTATATATATATTGGACATCATTTTAGCATTTTATTAATGACCTGGGTTATCAGAATTAAAAATTATACAGATCGCTGGGTTCTCCAGAAAATATGGCATATACATGTTCAGTAAACAGTCATTGGGGACCAAGGTATATTAAGCAGGGTTATGCTTAGACCTGTTCCGGAAGTTGAGCTTGGGGAAATGCCATGAAATATTCATGTAATTAGTTTGATTTACATGTATTAAGTGGCTTATTAATGAAAATGTTATATATTGTACGTATTGGTTTTTCAAAATTGAAAAAAGTTTGTTTTGCCGGGCACCAGTGGCTCACACCTGTAATCCTAGCTACTCAGGAGGCTGAGATCTGAGGATCGCTGTTCAAAGCCAGCCCAGGCAGGAAAGTC